ATAGTTTTTGAGCTGTAGACTAGACCAATATCATCCACATAACTCAGAGATCACACTATTCTCATATTTCTATTTTTGAATAGATATGCAGTGTATATTGCAAATAAAATGAGTGAGATTGAAGACCCCTGTGATACTTCTATTTTTATCTCAGTCTTGTCTTGTTTCATTCCATCAAAGAAGAGTTGTATAATTCTTTTAGACATAAAACAGTTAATCCATTTTATTAGGGAAAGTGGCAGTTTTAATATCTTCAATGTCTGAATTAACTTTGACTTTGAAACATGATCAAATGCTCCTTTTATATCAATAAAAACTGCAGTTGAGACCAGACCCTCATGCTTTGCTATTTGAATATCATGAACAACTGAGAGAACAGTGTCAATTGCAGAACACTGTTTTCTATCTCTCATTTGTTCACTGAATAAAAGAGAATCATCTATAGAGCTTATAAAAGATAGTCAAGTAGCTATTATCTTTTCTAAAACCTTTTCTAAACAGTTCAATAGAGATATTACTCTATATGACTTAGAAATTGAAGTTTTTCTATTAGGTTTTGCAAGAATCACTCCAGTGGCTTCTCTCCAGCATTCAGGATGATATCCATTTTTCAAGAGATTGAAAAAGAGCTCAAAATATTCATTCTTTAAGTAGGAATATGTATTTTGAATAATCAAGTGATTAATTGAATCTGGACCTGCAGCAGTTTTAACAGAACTTGAGAAGATAGCTGACTCTAATTCATCTTGTGTAAGATCAGGCCATTCCCAGTCATTTTCATCAATGTAGTTGAGAAGTGATATATTCTCTTTCTCTGAATCTGAATCTGAATCTGGTGAGTTCTGAAAGAGAATTCTCATGAAAGCTTGACATTTTTCCTCAAAAGAGTTTGCTGTATATGATTCATTCTGAAACTCATATTCTAGAGCTGGAAGTTTTGCTACACTTCTTGTTTTAGTATAGTTAAAAGCTTTAAAAACTTCCTTCTCTTGTACTTCTTCAAGAAATTTATTCCAGCAGTCTGTTTTAGCTCTTTTAATATCTGAAAAATATTCATTTCTGACAGTTTTGAACTCTTCATCAGATATTACATCATTCTTTCAATCTCTTCTAGCAGTAGCTAATTCTTTTCTTTTAGATGAGATATTCTCATTCCACCAAGGTTTTGAATACTCAGAAGATTTTCTTTTTGAAATATTATCTCTAACACTTGTTAGAATGATAGATGTAATAAGCTTCACTCTATTCTCAAGCATTTCATTTGAGATATCTTGACCAGAATTCCAATATAGCTCATTCTGTCTTTCAGATTTTAACAGTTTTATGCTTTCTTCAACTGCTTTTCAATCAGCTTTTTCAAAGTTATACTGATTAGAGAGAAGAGAATTTTCACTCATTTGTTTTTCACTCAGTTCAATATCAAATTGAATAATCTCATGACCTGATCCTGATGTCTTATTTGAATCAATAAACCAGTTTACAAGTCTTCTTTCCATTAGATTTTGTGACATGAATGTTAGATCTATAATAGACTTCTGTTTCATGCCTTTTCTAAAGAATGTTTGTTGATCAGACTTATTAACCAAATCTATTGAATGCTCAAAGGTTCATTCAACCAGATTATCAGCTCTCACTGCTCTCTTGCATTCTGAATTTCATCAGGGATGATGTGCATTGAAATCTCCTGCAATTATAGAGTTTCTTGATGAAGTTATATTCAGAAATCCTCTATCAATTATCCAGATATTGTTATTTTCCTTCAATGACTTTTCATTATAGATATTTATGAGCTGTATAGTATCAAACTCATTTTCTTTATCTATAATATCACCCACCAGAATATCAGGGTCAGACATGATATCAAATCTTAGATTAAATTGATATCTTGATCTCTTTCTTCCATAGATCACTACTCTTGACTTTATCTCAGACTTTTGAGGTAAAAAGCAGTAGTAGCTTGAATGAGAAATGACATATTTTTGCTCAGCATCAAAATTCGGCTCCTGAAGCAGTATAAAATCAACTTTTTGTTCAAATGTAATTTGAAGACAAGAATAAATGCAATTTGAGTTTCTATCCACATTATTTTGAATAAATGTGATTTTTGAAGAGTTTTTAAACTTTTTTTGTTGTTTTTGTTGTATATTCATACTAAAAGAGAGTAGAGAAGAATCTAATCACTACTATCAGATAGTAGATTATAACTGTTCTGAAAAGTAGGAATCTCAACTGCTTGCATTATATCTAGTTTATCACCAGAGTTATTTCTCAATTCTCTAATCTTAACAGGAGTTTGAGGATTCAAATTCTGTTTACATTTTGCTGAAGAATTGAAGTTTGAAGACTTAGATAATTGAGAGTTTCTTCTTTTTGAGCTTGCAGTTGTGAGTTTACTGGCTTGACTCTTCTCTTCAGTTCTAGATTGACTTTGAGCTTTATCTTTTCTCCAGTTCTTTTGAGTTCTAGAAGCAAACATACATTCTTTAGAGCTAGATGCATGTTTTTCTTTGCAATTAGAGCACTTAAGCAGAGTATATTGACAAATTTCATCTCTTTTTGAGCATGTTTCACATTTATACTCACTAGTTTTGTGATCTCTGGCACAGAATGCATATTTTGAGTCTCTAAAACATGAGATTGCAAAGTGTTCATATCTTTAACAGTTTGAACACTGTGTTTGAGCTTTGAGGTTCATCCTTGAGTCTTTGTATTCATGAACTCTCATTTTCAAACCTGCTACTCTTACTTCAGAGATCTTTGACTGTTCAAGTGTTTTTGTATATACTAGAACAGAGGCATTTCTCCTGCTTTGTCTGAACTCAATTGAATTTAGTCATACAGGCTCCTTTCTCAGTTGAATGGAGTTGTATTCTTTCAATTCATTTTTGAGAAGTAGCATTCCTTCTTCACAGTCAAAAATTTCAACTGAAATATCATGAAGAATGAATTTGTCCCACTTTTCATCTCTTTCAGATAGAATTGTTGTGTTTAACAAAGATTCTACTGCTGACTTTCAGAGATTCTCATTCTGAATAAGGAATTCAGCACTGAATTCAGGCATTATAGTCAGAATGATAGAGTTTTCAAAGAATGATGGCTCAATTGAAGCTATAACTGGTTTTTGAACTTCAATATCAGTCATCAACTGAGAAAAGAACTGCTGATTAATTTCATTTCTGATTCTGAAAATGAGATTTGAGTTTAGCTTCTTTCTTTGCAGAATGTCCTGATTTGAGACTTTGAGAATAAGTCTTCTATTTCTGGAGATTTGGAAGTTTTTCTCTTTTTGCATTTTCTTTTCCACTTTTCTATGAATAGAGGCATGAGCAGTATTCTTCTCAGTTTTCTCAGAATTTTGAGCAGATTTTGAGACAGTAGGTTTAGAGACAGCAGGTTTAGAGACAGCAGATTCAGCTGCTTGAGCATATGTAGAAGAAGAAGTAGGAAGAAAGAAAGAAGAAGAGTAAGATGAAGAGTCAGTGATTGTACTAGGAATTTTCAAGGTTTTTTGAACTGTGTTTGAGATTTCAAGTTTGAACTTGATCATCTTCTGTAGTTGTCTGACCTGAGCATGAAGAATTAACAGAACTTCTTCATTCATCTCACTCAGACACTGCTTTCCAAGAATCTTGCTTGCTTTTTCAAGTTCCTGTATTTCAAGAACTTGTTATTTCTCTATTTCTTCTTTCTTTCTTCTCTTCAGAATTTCAATCTCAGGAATAGCATTTGAGAAAGCATCTTTTTCCACATCAACTGAGCGTATTTTTGAACTCATTGTTTTCACTCAATGAAAAGTTGGTCAGACTGTTTCAATTGAGATATTTCTAAGTCTGTTTTCAATTGAAAAGTTGGTCAGACTGTTTCAAAAGAAGAATAAAAGACTTTTATGTATAAAACACCTGATTTTTTTCACACTAGTTCAGTAACTAGGTTAGATTTTTGAAGAGAATCTAATAAACTAAAATTGATTTTTAAGATAAATCAATAAAATCTTTACAATCTCTTTCTTGGGATACAGTGAGGAAAAGTATGATATCAATTGATAATAAATCAGATGATATGACAGTTTTTAAGAGAAAAACTGACAAAAAATAAATCAATTTTTTGCAGAGAAATTGATTAAAACTATTCAATTTTATTCTAAATCATCCAATTCTCCTCACACAACAAGTGTGCAACTCAAATCAGTTAATAAAGAGTGTAACAAAGAATTAAGTATTAATGAAAGCTCTTCAGCCACTGAAATAGTAATTCTTACTTAAAAGAATATGAAATTATGACAGAAAACAACTCTGTTTTTAATTCTTTGTAAGAATATTGTGTAAAACTCAGAGAAAAACACCTTACTTTTTCAAGAGAAGTAAAAAACTATTTCTAAGATCTTTTTTTTTTTTTGCATTAACTGCTGCAGAAGAATGAGATAGAAACTGCTAAGATATGCACTACTGTATACCCTCTACCAAGACTTTCTCTCTTCAGAGTCTTGATATTATAGAGAATATAAGTCTGTTTCTATATGATAATATAAATATTGCCAGCGGGATGTAGAGGAACTGATTATTTATATCTCAAAATAGAAGACTTTGTCAATGATTATATCAATATAGAGTTAATTCTCAAATTCAATAGAAACCTAGTGTTGCTGTTCTCAATCCCTTGCAGAATCTATTGAATATTGAGATATTAAAACTAGATTTAATATATCTCACTGTGCAGGGATCAAAGGCTCAGTCAGATCTTGGGGTATACTGATTTTATAGTTGTTGATGTGCTGTTGACTCGTTGTCCACTGGTTATGTATTGAATACTGTTGCCGAGGTATCTTTTTGTATCGTTCTGCTGGGGATGGGCCAGATTGAGAGGGGTAGTACAGGGGTGAGACTTGGTGTTGAAGTCTAGATACACTGGCGGCGGACCGTGGAGATTGCACTCCAGAAGAGTCCGTTGATTATGTGCTTGATATTATCGCCGAGGTATCTTTTTGTATTTTTCTGCCGGGGATGGGCCAGATTGGGAAGGGCGGTACGAGGGTGAGACTTGGCGTTGGTGTTTTGGAACATCAAAGATGGACAGGGTTTTCGCGGAGGTCGCTCCTCGGATATCTCCACAACTACAGGTCGGGGGTCTTCCAAAATCGAGAAGATTGGTGCATATGGCTAGGTCACTTCACCTTACAATTTGTATGGCACTCTGGCCCGGGGTTGTGGTGTGGTAGGGGAGAACGGGGGATAATCCCACACAGGAGCTTCGAACAACGTCCGGTTCACGTTTGGCTGGATAACTCCACCACCACACGGGGTATGCGGTCGGCGATGGGGTCAAAATGCTCGTATGATCGAGGGCTTTTCGATGGATCTATCGGCGGGTTCTTATTCGAAAAATCGAGCGAGTTCGTGGTGGAGCGGTTGTCTTCTAATCTATGTATTACTGAGAAAGTCATCACTTATACTATAGAAGTAAGATATATTAATATTAATACTGTAATGAGTAAGATAAATCTGTCAATGATTCAGAATATAAGTGTTATTATTTATTTAAAAATTTCTATTTCAGCTGTTAAGCCTCTCTCTGAATTCTTAATAATGATTGAAAGTGTTACAGTACATAGACAGAGAAGATTCAGAATATAAATAAGTAATCTTTGAGCTTGTAAGATTATTACTTTGTCAGGCAGATTAGTAAAGATTACTAGTGTCTCAGAACATATTATTAGTAAGAATTACTAAGTCAATGAGAATGTTGTTCTGAAGATCTGAAAGTCTGAAGAAATCTTTTGAGCTATTATCTGAGCTGATTACACTGAGTAATAATAGATCAGTCTCTGTGATATCTCTCTCAAGAGAAGACAGCTCAATCAGTGTATTAGAGATATTATCTCAGACATCATAAGATAAAGCTGAATGTAAATTTGAGATATGATGTACAGGTTCATGAAGAGATGATACATTATACTGAGAATTCTTTGAACTCAGTGATGATATAGACATCTTTCTTGATTGAGAGAGAAAGCTCAACAGTAAACACAGCTGAACATCACTGCTGATGAGCACACAGACTTCAGCCAGCGGCTTCAGAGGAAGGCCATGCTTGTGAGGTAGCAGAGCGCGGGCAGAGGCATCACAACGTGGGGCTGAGGGAGGGGGAGGGGGAAGGGGGCTTCTGGCCTCTAGAGCGCGAGAATGGGGGCATTTGCACAGTGAGAATGGCTTGAGGTGCCGCGGACGCCGCGGCGCCCACGGCTTGAAGTTGTTCACATGAAAAAACGCGAGAGCCATCTGGATAGAGGATTGGGGATTTGAGAGGGAAGATTTTAAGGGATTTTGAGTCAGGAGCGATCAGAGGAGCAGGAAGGAAAGCAGGAATTGAGCCAGAGAGAAGGGCGTGCACGGGGTGAGAAAAACAGATTGCAAAGTGCCAGTATCTTGAAGATTCTGTAGGAGGCTCAGCCACCCCTTATAGCTTCTCTCAGCACAGAGACTTCATTGCTGCACAGTCTCACATCTCTCATTGAAGATTGAGCGGACAGAGTGAAGAGGTGAATTCCTCTGATCCCTGAACCCCCCCCCTGAGACTGCTGACATGTCCCATACTGGTCAAAAAGCCACCTGAAGCCTGATAACCAGTGACCTGCTTCAATCACATTTGATCATTCATCACTTACAGTCTTCACATGTCCAGAGCATGCAATCCTGACACTGCCCTGCCTGCCTTGGTCCTCATCTGACCTGCAGATGCACACCAGTGCAAATGAAATGCAGCATTTTTGCTATTAGCCCACGGAAAGAAATTGTGACAATGACAGTCAGCCTTGGTGACTCAAAGAGAGATGCAACCCACATCGCTCAGGCCCAGCAAGCACTCTGAGCCCCGGTCCCCGGACACCAGCCCACCGGCCATCCCAACACGCTCGATCGGCTGCCGCCTCCTCCATCTTCACACGCAATCCCACCAATGGAAGGGGTTTCAAGACAAGCCGAGTCTTGAAAAGAAGACCTTCCAACAAGTTAAAATAGAAAAAACTTGGAAGATGAAAATGAAAATTGAAAATAGAAGAATAAATCAACCGGGGAGTAGAAATTTCTGCTGCTGGGAATCACTGATCACACAGCACAGTGAAAGGCACACTTGCAGAAAAACAGGGGGTGCGGACGCCCCAGCAGCCTCAATCCCAGAGTCAAGCAGGGTAGCATCATGAAGACGCAATGTGGAGGGCTCAGAGGCCAACCAGGTGATATCAGAACAGCAGCTCGACGACTCCGCAGGCGCAGGATCCAAGACAGATGAGGGCTGAATAAGACAGCACCATCCCTGGCAGGGGGGGAAATGAAGAAGGAGGCAGTGCACGCGAGAGTGAGCGCCAGAGCCAGAGCCCAGGGCAAGGATGAGTGAGAAAGAGAAATGAAGAAGGAAGGAAGAAGAGAGTGTGATCATTGTGAGGGGGCATGAGACAGGTTTTTATAGATCACAGCATCTGTTGAAGCAGCATGAGAAGGTGCAAAAGTGGTGAGAGAGCAGTCAGTGCTGCTGCATCGGGCCTCGCGCGCGCGGCGGACCAATGGCGAGGGCGCGCGGTGGGCTGGGCGCCCCGCTAACCGGCACAAAAGATACTCAAGTACGGAGTAACTACTAAGTAACTTAACTTTTAGTCTACAAGCGAGTCGGCCAGACAGGCCAGTCGGCCACTTGGTACTCCGTATCGCAGCTTTAGATCCTCTTAGTTAGCTGTAGCCTCGGGACCTACCATCAATCAGCTTGAGCGAACGGTTCTATTTCAGGTGGAAGCATACTCATTATTCCCGATTTAAATCTGGTCTTTTCCCGATGATTACTGCGAGAATTGTCGCTCGACGTGGCCTCGAACAAGACCAGTCCCGCGGAATACATCATTGTCCTGGCTGGTGAGCATCCCGCTGGAAGCAGAAAGGGAGGTGAGAGCTGTTGTGGTGAACTCATTTGGGGGCCGGAGGGGGATTAGGAAGAGATCTATGTGCGAAATGATGAGATATTGAAAAGTTTATTCAAGATATAGTTATTATTATCTATGGAGACTATTGCTTGAGCGAGACAAAGCGTAACTTATACGGTTGTAGAAAGAACCGCAATGTTCAATTCCACTACCACTTAATTTTCAGGTTCTTCTGTTTTTCACTAAGTTCATCACCTTGAGGCGAAGTGTGCTGATGAAGATGGGTGCCTTTTAATGTACTGGTTTAATATCTTGAACAGCCTCTTCTCCCTGTCCCTACTTTGGTAACCTCCCCTAAACTAGCTAGGGCTTATGGAAATATTCCGGTTTCAGATAAAAAAATGTGTCAATTTTGAAGGAAAGACAGTCGAGATGAAGAGAAGTTCTATTTTTGTGATGTGTGGGAAGTGATTATCAACATTCACCCTTATTATATATATATCACCCCTATTATCAACGGGGATATCCTTCCACCAGGTCATTGCTGAGTATTAGAGATAAGAAAATATTATTATTGTTACTGAACACGTCTACAAACTACCTCATCGGCATCAAAGTAATGCCTGTAAACTGCCCAAGGTTGATATAGTCTGAGGAAGATTCAAAACTCAGTATATCTCTCTAGCAACACGCCCCTTCACTCTCCGCCCCTATATCGCTGCATATACCTATAGGTATGTAAGTAAGCACCTACATCCTCCTATGACCTTTGGGCTCCACATTTCGGCCCAAGCCTATTGATACCCCACGAATGGCTTTTCTCGAACCAGAGTCCTCCTCCCAAACATTCTCTTTGCGCTGCTATCCAAACGAGCAACACTTATTAGGACTGTGTATCAGGTCTAGTTGTTTTTCATCGTACACCTGTCAGCCGAATATTTTACCGCGATGTGAGCATCCAGGCACCCCAAATCGCGTCTTCTTCCCCCCTCGCAGTATCGAGGCTCAGAGCTCATATTAACGTCATTGCCCTAAGGCAGAAGAAGTTCGTGGGCAAAGTGATGTCCTATCACTATGGAGGAATCACAACGAGTCCCCTGGGCAGTGGGGATTGGCTCGAGGCCTATGGCCTGTACGCTACCGTTTGTGGAGCTTCAGCTAAGCGCGGCCCCATCCAAAAGCTTACGCCAACTTCATATCTCCAAACCTCCTGGCAGGGGCTTCAGAAATGTGAATGGTGAGTTAAAACATTGCAATTCAAAGTGCTGTGGGAGTGTCCTTCTAGGCTCACGATCTCCTGCCCAGCCGGGCTGCTACCGGTTTCGATACCGACGAGGCCGAATCCATGTAGGCAGGACCCAAACAAGCTGTGAGGGACTGAGTTTCTCTGGCTGCTCAACATGCTGAATCGGGAGCAGCAATCTTTTGGGGGTTGCAGTAAATCCAGAGCAGGTTGATCGATGCAGCCCTTGAGGCGAGCTCAGGTATCTGTGAAAAGTCAAGCTCCGACCTCGGCGTTTCCTGGAAACTTGAGGACGTGGAGGGAGGCTTGGCCGGGTGCGAGCAACGTTGTTGTCTCTAAGGGTGCCTTGCCAGGGCCTCCTCGCCTTGCATCAGGCTCTGGCTCTAGTGCCATGGGTGGCTTGAGGTACTGATATGACATTATTGGCAACATTTAGTCGTGGCTGACGTGCAGAAATTGTATGCACAATACAAACAGGATTTGAGTAGAATTCACCTCGCTCGATGGCGTGGCACAGTTTTCATGGACGGATCGGAGGACATGCGCAGTGTTTCGAAGCAGAACTGTTCGAGGATGCTTAATTAACTAGGTTAATGGACCAGCAACTGCTCAATACTGCCAACAGAAAAGCCGCTAGTCCCCTGCTGGGAAATTTCCAACCACCTGGGCCTGGGGGGAGGTTAGAGTCTGAAGCGATACGATGTAACCGGGCCTGAAGCGTCGAGCGCCGCCCTGTTTCCGCTTCACATATATTTGGTCAGGCAGTGAGGGAAAAGGATTATATTCACGCCAAACGCCCAATTCATCCGGACTTCAACCCCGTTTGTTTCTTGGTGAGGCTTATTTCTACTTGAGAATTTCCTGGTTAAACGGTAGGGCATGACCGCCAGTTGCTTGCTAGCCTGGGGCCTCACCCTCACCTGACATAATATTATTGAGGAACCCAGCAAAACACAACTACTATTAACAAAGAATGGCTATCCCCATCAACTGCTAAATAATGAGCGGGGTGCTGAAAAACCGGGAAAGAGTACGTGGGCGGATGACAGAACGACAGCTGGTTGCCAGATGTGAAAACACTCCGCAAAAATCAAATGGGTTTGCCTTCGGACAAAATGGATGAGCAGGAAATAGGGCTGCCATTTGAAGCGTCGAAGTCAAGCCTCACACGGAGGCTCATGGAGCGCCAATCCTTTGCGCCAAATGCTAATCTTGGAGGAAATGCCACAGAGGATTTACGACCTACATAGTATGCTGAACGTCTCCACAGTAGCTTTTGCCTTGCCAGCAAAATGCTCCACATCGATTGAAGCCTCACGCCGGAATAACTTTTGATAGGTTTGGCGGGCCCGTTTTGTGCACGTACGCCCTATCAATGGGGTGGATTGACTTGTTCGCGCCCTCCTCCCCTGGGGTTCAAATCGTCACTCTATACCTGCCTGGCCGCTGACAGTTTTTCCGGAATACTGCTAGGATGCCTTCTGTTGATGAGCAGAGTCGGTTTTCTCGCCTTACTCGATGAGTTGACGACTGAACTGACTTTCCATCTTATGAAAATGCTTCCATTTGCGACTTGAGGAAGGAGACTTTCTTGACTGCGGCCTTTTTCCCTATTCTCAGATCTCCCTGTCCCTCGTCCCTTGTTTCCTCCACCTTTTTTCTGTGCTCCTTTTCGCTTCTGGTCTTTGCTATTGCATCTCTGCGTATTTTACTCAGTTTACTCAGTACCGATTGAGCTGATCTCGATTTCCCAACACTACTTTGCGGTATTGATACACTTTGACCTGGTATGAAATCTTAGAACTCATCATTTGCTCCACAGAATCGCCTACCCAAGCCAGGAACACTGAGCTGGCACCCCTAACATGGCACTCAACCATCATTTGAGTTTAAATTATCCCGATGCCGATGTTTCCCAAAACCAGTATGATTTAGTTGAGCGGGGGATCCAGGAACCGGTTCTTCCATCGGATCTATCCCACGATTTACGAGGCGTCCAACCCACTGAAAGCGAGAGCTATGACTCGGAATTCCTCACCTATGCGCAACGTGACTCCAACCCCCCCATTTCGTCTGGGTTAGGGGAGGTACAGGGTACACAACTCCGACGACTAGAGGAACATTGGGAAGTCACTTTGAAACCTTCTCCAGCTGCTCCAAATTTTGGGTCTGGCGCCACTACCGGAACAGCACAATGTGCTGAGTCGCGAACAGCTGAACCTTGGGACCAATGGAGCTACGATTTTGACGCCATGCTGTCCATGTATACTTCCGCAGAGAACCTTGATACCATCAACCCGGGAGCCTCAGAGTTTACAGGTGGTTTTGTGGCCTCAGACGGCGGTATAAGAGAGTTAGAGGTTAGCTACTCACATCAAGACCAATCTGCAAGGTTTCTAACGGAGCCCGGTTATCTACCGGACAAGTCGAATTTGGTGCCGTCGCACCAATATAGTAGGATTTCCTCTACCTGTCGTGATGTCTGCGATTTACTAGAGCATTGTGGAGCCACGAACGACGCTCTCGTGAGATACGATTCTCATGTTGCTTCTGGTTTGGTTGAGCAACAGGACACTCAGATACCCAACAATGGGCAGCAAGGTTTGGATGTGTTGCCTGTTTCGTGTGAACCGATGGACGGAAGGACAAACCTGCAAACTGCCAATCCGAATGAGCGCACGGGTGATATACAGGGTGACTCGAAGCAGAAAAGTTGCTGGCAATGTCGGTTCAAACATGAAAAGGTATTTGATCCATGGTACTCGAAGCATCCGCCCCTTAAGACTAATTTCTGCCGTAGTGTGCCGGCGGGACCCCTTGTCGTAATTGCGAAGACATAAAGGGACGCAAAGGACCTTATCGCTATATAGTCCCATGTTTTAGAAATGGGCTGGAAGAATTTAGTGGCGCACTTTTTCCAGGTATGTCAAACCCCCCTCGAACTGAATGCGATAAGAGCACCGGTTTAATATTGATTAGACACCCTGAGTGGTCAGATATTGCCCCATAGTTGGCATCCTGAGCATATAACTCACTTTCAAAATAATCCATTCCCTGGAAGATTTACTCTCCTGATTAGTGTTGGGTTTGGCGAGCCTATTCAGACCCGTGGATGGAGGATTGACGCACAGCGAGAAGTGCTCGTAAGGACACGAACAATAAAAACCGACAATGGAAGCTCAACCGTCGCTTCTGAAGAAGTCCTCCCGATTCGTCCAGGGGGTAAGTTGAACGATTTCTATAACAACATCAGATCTTGGGTGCATAATATGGTCCAAAGGCCAGATTTAGGTTCCTGGATTTCTGCAACTCAGAAGAACAAAATTCACAGTCGTGCGAGCTGTCAGGTATTGCTCGCGATTTGCCGTTACTTTGTTGAGTGCGGAGCCGACGACTTCGCTCCACGGGCCTCGCTAGGGCTCTCTGCGGAGGATCGAGAATCTAGAGTCGATCCTAACGCTACTCTGCGCCACGCTTTGAAAGCGGCTATCCTTGCGACTGTACTTTCTACATGCTTAAAGATTGCCCCCGAGAGCTTCGAGAGTCTCCAGGAGATCTTTCAAATGCATCCTGATGAACTATCTCGAATGCGGACAATACCACACTTAGTGAACAAAGCGTTTAAGCTTGCGGTTTATAAAATCGAGGAGTTCCACATATATCATGCACTTCTTGGGCTTGATAAGCTGCTGGGCCAAAAAGGCATACCAGAAGGTCATGTAGGCTGCATCGTTACTCTTCTCGCCACCGCAATGAGTTCTACGCAACTTTCATTAGTGGACCTTTGTCGCACGACACGGGGCACTGATGGGGCCGTGGTGTTTGCGCAAGTAAAGCATGAAATCTCCGAACTGGAATCTCTATTTTCTAAACTAAGGTGCCTTTTCCACCGGCGATGCAAAATCGAACGCATCAGGGAAGAACAACGATATAGAGGTCTAGACGTAAAAACTCAAAAATTAGTGGATAGCCTCTCGAAGGAAATTCGTGCATTAAAGGGTGAGTTCATATGAACAATCTTGGCTTTGTTTTTTTCCTCTCCTTCCACCTCTCCATTCTAGCTAGAACTAATGGCACCTCCTTAGAGAATACAAGTAATATGGACGACCTGGAGTTTGAAAGTATGGAGCATATCCAGGACCTTGCACTTGGAAATAGTGTACCGGGGGATATTGCTCAATTCAACAGTGATAGGTTATTTTATGGCCTATGGGGTCCTTTGTTGCCCGAAAACTCCCGCAAACGCAAGAGTCGGAATTAAGGGAACTTGGGAATTCACAACCCAACTGATTCCAAAAGAAAATTACTGTAACCTCCGATTCTAGGTGCATTCAGCCTGAACGCCTGGCACATCCCGTTTCCCTTTCCCTACGGCGATGTATTTGCAGTTTCCAACTGGATGAGTACTCTGTAGACAGTATTAGGAAGAGGGATTCCTATCCTATCTTGCCGTTCTCCAAATGTTGTTTTTAAAGGTGGCTTGGATCGTTGCTGTCCGCCTTTCGTAAGTCGTGATGTAATGAGAGCTTTCTCGCCCCCTGTTTGTTTTGGACATCTTGACTTTACACAGATTGTCTGAATAATTTACCCGTCAGATTTCTTGCTTTATAGATAGCCTCATAATGTATAATTGAGCATTTTTGTTATTGGATAGATAGTTATGTTTGAGGGGGAGAAGAGCCGTCTGCTGTTCAAAGCGTCTAGCGTATAGCGTCCTGCACTTCAAAGGAATTACATAGTATTCATCATAAACAAATATAGACAGAATACTATATTCTTGAGGAAAGGGTAGATATTCTGAAACACCACATCTAATCGAAATAATAAGACAGCACGCTGCCTGACGTACGCATAGTACATGTCATATGTAAAAAGAAATGTCCATCATATTAGATAGTCCTCGCCGCCCCATGAGTACTGGAGCGGAAGGGTGGAGTAGACGACAGTCTCTGCTAAAAAACTGTTATAGGCTTGATCTTCCACGTGATTTATTAAAAAACGAAGTATGCATGCGATGGCCATTGAGAGGCAACATGATGCTGGCAATGCTGTGGTTTTTGAGTGTGATGGGTGGGGATATTTTGTTTGTTTACTTTTTTTTCTTTTTTTTCTTTTTTTTTCTTTTTTTCATCCCCTCAACATTTCCTGGCGAGCTGCTCCATTTCTTAGGATGGCATTTAATCAACCCCGTGTCATTTTCCCCCGGGAGTTAGCGCCGTAATCGTATTGAGAATTGCTGTGGAAGGGGAATGAATAAGGAACGAAAATGAACAAAAATTGAGCAACCAGCTGCGGGAGGAGAATGGAATGGAATGGAATGAGATGGGTATTTGAAAATGCATAAAATAGTCAGGCAATATCATTAAACCTGAGAATCGTCATCAGAATCATTACTGGCCTCCATGAGGCAGGGAATACAATACTCAGAAAGTCAAGGATAAAGAAAATAAAAATAAAAAATTGTTGAACAGAAGCAGAACCGAAGAGGAAGAGGTTTTAAACACTTTGCCTAGCTTGATTCGCCGGCCCGAAAGTATTTCCGAATATCACGTGAATTCCAAATTCAACCTAGCGAAACTCGCCCATTTTGACGACAAGCTGGTCTTTTTTCTTTTTTTGCTTCCTCATCACACTTTTATAACAATACCTCTGAACGCATAATCAACCTCCAGTTTCTGGTTTTCTTCTTTCAGAGAACCCTCGATAGGATGGCTAGGTCATATTGGCGTACTCGAGTGAACCACGGGCATTTTTTGGCTTCGCGACCGTTATGCTCACTTTGTGTGTTCATAGCATATGGTCGACTTGGAGTCACCTGCTGCCCTGACATATCTACCTGTTTAACAACGGAGACTTTACAGATATGACTTGATAACTAAATTGCCGATAATTACCGTATCGATTGTATGAATATTGGCCGAAAGTACCTAGGTAGCCTCTAGCGTTAGTTTTTTTGTCGCGCTGTTTTAACCGTTGTGCGAAGAACGTTGTGAGATGTTCTATGAGATCAAAGCCTGATGAAAAACAGGCTGCGGCTCAATGCCCATGTTGTCAGTGGACTCCTTAGCCGTAATTTCATCATTCCGTCACCTGGAATAAAGAAAAAATATATTATTGTGAGATTGACGCTGAATTGTCTCCCCCTCTATTATATATCCATATTTAAAAGCACATAATGATGCATGAGAGCCAAGACACGAAAACAAGAGAATATATGACGGGGTATCTTATGGAGAAAAAAAAGGAAAGAAAGGTAAAATAGCTGCCGATGCAGATGCCCAAGAGATCTCGTACTCCCAACGAAAATCAAAGCGAAAACGAAGGTGAAGCGGAAACCTCAATCTGGATGTGAGGAGATATAACCAAAGCCTGGGAAAGATAAAAGTAAGGCGAACAGGTTTGATTGGCTACTGTCTGATAGGTTCAACGCCCTGCGGTACAAGGGCCTCATCTGGATAAAATATCAGAGGATGAGCTTTGCGAATTCTTATAATAATATATATATTGGAAACGTACTCATCAGTCATATCCATTTCTGCAAACTCTAGCCATTTCCCAGATATGGACCGTTTCCAGAATCGAACCGCGCCGTCATCACCGGACGAGAGGAGGCAATCTCCTGTTGGATCAGTTAGAAGTTGGAAGAACACTTCACATGGTCAAAGTACGACCATGACTCTAGTAGGGCTTTTTACAGACCACAGGAACGGGTGATACCACTCACCTGCCTGGGAAAATTCCACCTGCCACACGTCCAAATGCTTGCTATTAATGGATGCGACTTCTTTGTATGTGTGGGTAAAAAGTGCGTCTCCACCTCCTTGTCGATTCATCAGCGGAGCAGGTGAGCGGTTGGCAAGAGCCGTACCAATACCTGACGGAGTAGATGCACGACTAGTAGATGAATGAGACGAAACAACTGCCTGCCGGCTATTACCGTTCGCTGGGTTATTTGTAGAATTGGTCACGGCCGTGTAGACTTCAAATACTTTCACCACGCCGTCTTTCGACCCGCTAGCAATCAAGTCGCAACCGCGCACGGAACCGTTAGCCCATGATATATCGCGCACCAAGCCGCCATGCCCTCCAAGCTCTATGGCATGATAAAATCGCCGGTTCGCATCTGTCCGATAGATTTTCACGGTATCCATGGCCGCGACGACGAGGGACAGGCACTTGCTATCCCAGCCGGGCAAAATAATTTGCGTGATATCCATGGGGTCATGGTAGAATTGTACTTTGAAGCTGGTTTCCTCACCGCGGGACGGTTCTGTGCAGACCCTGAACTGATCGACCTGTTGCCATTCTGCCAAACTATCAGGGCTGACAGGCTCGAGAACGGTGAGAAGTCCATCGCGTGTGATCAGGGCGAGGTAAGAATCGAGGGCAATATTACGGAAGTCGAGCGAGACATAAGGAGCGCGAACGGGGGACGTAAGGCGAAAGATATTCCGAAAACGGCGTCCGGAATTTGGAGGCTGGGTAACGTCCTCCTGCCAGATCTTGAACCTCATATCCTCCCCTACACTCCCGATATGCTGGCCCGTAAAAGGGCCATTCCATGCTGCCTGTAAACACGGAAAACAAAGAAAAAATGCGCGGAAAGTTAGCCGAAGAAGTTTTTGCTTGAGTGCATATATATGTATACACATTAAATTGCGATGCATGTTAACATTCCCCCGTGAAGGAAGGAAATAATAAAATTTTCTTGCTTTCCTTTCCTTTTCCCTTTTCTTTCAGACGAGAAATCCAAAACTTACGTCGCGAATCTCCGCATCATGGGCGCGCCATGTATCTATAAGCTCCCAGCCTTCATCCTTTTGATCCCAGATCTTGATCCGATGATCGGAAGACGCGGTTAGGATGCGGTTGCCGTAGAAGTTGAACTTCGTGACTGTTACCAGATCGCGGTGGCCAGCATCAAAGTCAGTAAAAGCAGTCATATCGCAGATATTCACAGTCGCAGTGGGCAATTGTCCCTCTTGTCCCTCTTGTCCCTCCGGGTTACTGCGTCCTATATCTTCAGCCGACCAGCGGCTGCATCCGCCCATCTATATAAATGACGTTTGGATATCACGTGAATGGAAAGCTTACGATAACCTTGTTGTGGAAATATTCCACTAGTAAGGCGGTGACAGGCGGCATAATATGTCCAAGCATCTCTACCGAATCCACACACGAAGTGGCCACCGTGATGACAGGTGGCAGAAGGTTATGGTTTGTTTACTTGTTACAACTCAATGATGCGTTTGGGATTCCCCGCGGTCCGGCGCGGTTTGGATTTATTCATGATTTCGTGGAGCGTGTTAGCTGTTTCTTTTTAAGATGAAGGGTACCCTCACCCGCAATGAGACCTGGAGCTTACTGGCACTGGTTGTCGCCTGTCTGGGGGTCATAACCAATACATTCCAGGGTGACGGTGAACCCTTGATCGCGTCTCTTGCTCTCAGCGGCATAGCTTTCGCAGCCACTTTTAGTCTAATACGATGGCTGGGGGAAGTTTTTGTCAAAGCAGGATTGAAAGGGAGGGACATGGCGAAGTTGCGACACAGTGAGATGTATGGACTGCATCAGAAGGAGGCGGAGTCCCCAGTGTTAAACTAGCTAATATCACTGACAATTACTTATTTGACAGACCGGAAGCGATGGGAGCTGTTTGCGCGGTTGTTTATATACTACTACTGATAGTTTTCATACCATTCCCATTTTACAAAGATATTGTAGCTGCGACTTCAGGGGGTGGGAATCGAGATGTAGTGTTAGAGGCGCAACATGTCGAAACGGGACGTTTTCTTCATCGATTCCCTCATAGTAAGGTAGGAGAACAATCTGGATGTCCCCTAAAGTGGCGCTGTGATCTTTGCTAATGTTTATATGAGTGTGTAGCTTGCGTCCTACCTCTCTGGCCTTTTATCGCTCCAGGCAATCCTGATTCTCGGTATCGGGGACGACATGCTTGATATCCGATGGAGACACAAAGTGCTTATCCCTGCGCTCGCTTCAATTCCAATGCTTATAGTATACTTCGTTGATTTTGGAGTCACGCTCGTGGTTGTTCCGGTTCCATTGCGGCCATATCTCGGCCCATTCATAGACCTGGGTTGGTTATATTATGTGTATATGGCCGCTGTTGCCATATTCTGCCCTAACAGCATCAACATGCTTGCTGGGATCAACGGGATTGAGGTATCTCAGTCTCTAGTCATTGCGATCTTGCTACTTATAAATGACGCATTGTACCTTACACCCTTCACGCCTTATCCTCATCCAGCCATGGACTCCCACCTTTTCTCGATATATCTTCTATTGCCATTTATCGCGGTCTCCTTTGCGCTCTGGCTGCATAATTGGTATCCGGCCAAAGTCTTCGTAGGCGATTCCTACTGCTATTTTGCCGGAATGGTATTCGCGGTTGTGGCCATTCTTGGCCATTTCAGCAAGACGCTTTTGCTGCTGTTCGTCCCGCAAATATTTAATTTCCTCTACTCTACTCCTCAATTGTTCCATCTTATTCCTTGCCCGAGACACCGACTGCCACGTTTCAACGCGCGCACGGGATTACTTGAGCCTTCAGTAACGGAATGGCCGCGTCCCCCCATGTTTGTCGTTTCAACCGCTCTCGAGCTACTCCACCAGCTCCGACTCGTGCGAATACGGAAGAACGAGGCCAGAGAAATCATCGAGTCTACCAATCTGACGATTTTAAATCTGTGGCTGGTATGGTTCGGCCCGTTGAGAGAAGACAAGCTTGCCACACATATTGTAATGGTCCAGGTTGTCTGCGGAGTTGCCGGCTTGCTGGTCAGGCACAAGCTTGCGCTATGGGTATTTTCGGAAGACAATCGGTGATTTGTATTAACTGGAAGGGATTGCATGTACATATATGATAGAGTAGTTTTAGACAGTCGAATAATTATTGTTATATCCTGGTAGTTCGTCTTATTTATTGACTCCTCCTGTTGGTGTAGCCGTCATCGCTGCGGCTCCGCGTTCCGATAAGGGACCGAAGGTCTTGGCATTTCTCCGTCCCCGGGCCGATAACCGCTGCAAACCGAGTCATGCAGCGCGGCCAATCACGCTGCTTCCTGATCTGCTTACCGCCGACATCGGCGCCGACCCCTCCCTCTGGCGCAAAGCTCTCTGGAGCTACTTGAAGGCGGCTTCATCCTTTATATACTCCGTACACAGCTTTCTGTTCTGATATTCCTCCTTCATCTCTCATCTGTTCAAACTGAGATCTTTTGTGCTTTGCCTCTAATCAATATCTTTCCTCCCGATCACTACAAACGCAAAGACAACGAACAATTGAGCTACCTAGCTTGCCCGCCTCTTTAACCAGCAGGAGGACGGAATCATGCCTGCCGCAGAGAAGAAACCTAAGACTCTCTATGACAAGGTCTTCCAGGACCATGTTGTGAATGAGCAGGAGGATGGAACTATCTTGCTCTATATTGGTATGCCTGGCTCCCGTTTTGCATGAAGAGCTTTGCCACGGACTGCGCAAGTGTTAACCAGTTCAATAGATAGACATCTCGTCCACGAAGTCACGTCACCTGTAAGTTACTCCCTAGTAATAAGTTAATTATACCCAATCAGCGTACACATATCTAACTATGTCGTTGAATAGCAAGCGTTTGAGGGGCTTAAGAATGCTGGGCGGAAGGTACGGAGACCAGATTGTACTTTGGCCACAGTAGACCATGTACGTTACCATTTTCCCAAGGCTCGTAAATTTATTTTACGCTTGTCTAACTCTCTCTCTACAGAATATCCCCACCACATCTCGCAAGACGTTTAAAAATGTCGAGAATTTCGTGCAAGAGATGGACTCGAGGCTGCAATGTATGACCCTGGAGGAGAATGTGAAGGATTTCGGGCTCACATACTTTGGCTTGGGGGACAAGAGGCAGGGAATCGTGCACGTCATCGGTCCGGAACAGGGGTTCACACTTCCAGGCACAACCGTAGTCTGCGGTGACTCCCACACATCGACGCATGGCGCTTTTGGCGCCTTGGCATTTGGGATTGGCACCAGCGAGGTCGAACATGTGCTGGCCACGCAGACACTCATCACCAAGCGCAGCAAGAACATGCGTGTTCAAGTTGACGGTGAGCTTCTACCAGGTGTTAGCAGCAAGGATATTATTCTCCACGTGATTGGTGTGATTGGAACTGCTGGTGGTAATGGCTCTGTCATTGAATTTTGCGGTTCCGCTATCAGAGGGCTTAGCATGGAGGCGCGTATGTCTATTTGCAACATGAGTATCGAGGCTGGCGCTAGGGCTGGCATGGTTGCACCAGACGAGACTACATTCGAATACTTGAAAGGAAGGCCCTTGGCGCCAAAATACGATAGCCCTGAGTGGAAGAAGGCTGTGAAGTATTGGTCGAGTCTGAAGTCCGACGAAGGTGCTGTATATGATAAAGAAGTTTTCATCGATACAAAGGATATCGTCCCAAGCGTTTCTTGGGGTACCTCCCCGCAGGATGTCGTACCAATCACTGGAGTTGTCCCCGGGCCAGATGACTTTACAGATGAGGATAAGAAGGCGAGCGCAAAGCGCGCTTTGGAATACATGGGACTCACTCCCGGCACGCCAATGCAAGATATCGTCGTCGACAAGGTATTCATTGGATCTTGTACCAACTCCCGCATCGAAGACCTGCGCGCTGCTGCTCACGTGGTTGAGGGTAAGAAAGTAGCTCCAAACATCAAACGGGCGATGATTGTCCCGGGATCGGGTCTGGTCAAGCAACAAGCAGAAGCTGAGGGTCTAGACAAGATCTTCACTGCTGCTGGATTTGAATGGAGAGAAGCTGGTTGTTCTATGTGCCTCGGCATGAACCCAGATATCCTCTCCCCACGCGAGCGATGTGCCAGTACATCTAACCGAAACTTCGAAGGTCGTCAGGGGGCTTACGGGCGGACACATCTCATGTCCCCGGTAATGGCTGCTGCTGCCGCTATCGTCGGCAAGCTTGCTGATGTCCGAAAAATCGAAACTGCCCATCCACTGACCCAAAAGAGGGTCGCGCCAAAGGTTGATGTCGAAGCCGTCGTTGACGAGATCGATACCGAAGATGACCTGGAACGCATCCTCGACTTCCCTGAAGACAATGAACCGCACACTAATAGCTCTACACCCCATACGTCAGCTGGTCTGCCAAAGTTCACGACGCTTAAAGGCATTGCAGCACCACTAGACCGTGCGAATGTGGACACAGATGCCATCATCCCCAAACAATTCCTCAAAACCATCAAGCGCACCGGTCTAGGAAGCGCCCTTTTCTACTCCTTGAGATTCGCTGAAGACGGTTCTGAGAAACCAGATTTCATTCTCAACCAAGAACCATACCGCAACGCCAAAGTCCTCGTAACAGGCGTGAACTTTGGCTGCGGTAGCTCCCGAGAACACGCTCCATGGGCTCTCCTCGATTTCGGCATAAAATGTATAATCGCTCCTTCATACGCAGACATATTCTTCAACAACACATTCAAGAATGGCATGTTGCCCATCATCATCACCGATAGCACTGCATACCAGAATATCTTCGCGGAAGCTCGTGCTGGGAATGAGTTGGAAATCGATCTCCCCAACCAACGTGTCAACGACGCCTCAGGAAACAAGCTGGCGGACTTCGACGTTGAGCAATTCAGGAAACATTGCCTTGTCAATGGTCTGGATGACATTGGACTCACGATGCAGATGGAGCAGAAGATTAAGCAGTTCGAGGCTGTTCGCTCGTTGGAGACTCCATGGCTGGACGGCACGGGATATCTGAAACGCGGCAATGGGAAGAAAGGCCCAGTAATGGTTTCAGCTGCCGCTGTTCCGAAAACGAATAGGGGTGAAGTAAAGGGGGAACCATTGGAGTGGTGAGGAGAATTTTGATTGTCGGGAATGGAGTTTCGTAGGTTTCTTTTTTGAAAAGGACAAGCGCATCTAATGCTGGAAAGGGAGATTAATTCTATATTTGATCAGATCTATCTGTTTTTTCCTTGCTGAGATAGCATTTTTTTCTTCTCCTCTTTCTCTCAAAACACAATTATAGTTCGCTTATCCGTTGTTTAATATTTACTTTTCACTTTCGGCTCAGTCCATGCATGCTCTTTAGAAGGAAAAAGCTAAGAAAAAGGGACTTCGATTGAAGCCCTTCACCGGGCTAGGTTTTATAGCTAGTTGAATGAAAATTTCGATCCCTTTTGTGAATGCCTGTAGATGTATCCATCCCCATTCTTGTGCACACCACTGCTCTCTCTCTTTATAGCTGTTTATGCAGACAGTGCCCCAACTACTCCCCCTTAATTTCCCTTACTCCTACATAGGCTAACCTAACCCCCTGGCCTGACTTTAACAAGGCTAGATTTCAAACCGGCTGAAAGGGGAGAAAAATAATTCCATTTCTTAAGGAGACTACTTTTTTCCTCTAACCTAACAGATTTACGTTTCATTTCCCTCTATCGCCTACCTTTGAAAAGGAAGAGCACTTGTAAGGAAGGACATTACAATCGTCCGCGGTCTCTATCTACTCCGGAGTCCGATCCTCCCTGGTTCGGGGATTAATAACTGTGCTCGTTCGAACATATCCATGTTGCCTGCAAAGAGAGTATCATTTGTAATGTACGTTTATTTAAGCTCTGCGCAGTAGATCATCACACATTCCCCACACCACTCCGCCGACTAGATTTAGCAACAGTATAGGTAGCATCTGTAACGATTGGGTGTGCATGTTGGCATTTCGATATTGGAAAGAATAGAAAGCCGATGGTATTAATAGGTCAAGCTGTGTCTGGATTTGGATATCCCTATGCCCTTCCTTTCTAGATTCTGTATGTCAGCTGAAGACGTGGTAGGGGTTGCTTGGGCCGGTTCAAGTCAAAATATCAGACATGGAATAATCGGCGCTTCCATAGAATTGCTCTGCATCTGTCATTAGTTATTATTACGCCCGATGCTGGTCCTGGACATGAGTTCTGATCCTTCTAGCAAGCTGATGAATTAGTCCAATTGGAGATGACTGGTTGTATGTAATATTCGCTGCCAGCCGGATAGTATTATTATTTGAAAGAAACATGCACGTTTGTTTGGGATAGCTGGTTATTCGAAGGATTTGTCGCTTAGTATCATAATAATAATAGTATGTGATCCACACAGTACAGCGTAGGTGAAGCTGGGCGGACGACAAGCCTACCAGGACGATCTGATCTGAGTGATCTCCCGAGATAGGCAGCGTGCGTACGGAGTACTGTGTCCGCAGTAAGCCTTAAGCCTTACTACTGCGTATGCGTAAGCGGCCGTCGCAAGGATCACAATGCAGAGTGGAGCGCGTTAAAATAGTTGCCTGAACATGGATGACGCTGTTGATTTAGATGTTGACATGACTCTTGCGGTCAACCACGTAGAAATTCTAAAATTATGTTTACTATTTTGTAATTTCCATAACTTAGGTCTCCACGCCTGCGATCTCTTTGGAGTGCGGAGTACAGTACCATGTCTATTCTCTGCTCGTCATCCACCTGTCTCTTCGGGAGCCCTGTGAGATGATCTGTAGATTCAAAAGCCAAAGATGGAAACAAGGGCATCAGGCAAGTAAACGCACTTAAAATCACCTAGGTAGGTACAACAGGTAACATGTGCAATGTGGCGAAGCTGTTAGATAAGTTATTCATAGTTTGTTTTTTTTTTTTTTTTTTTTTTTTTTTTCCCTTTTTTTTCCCTTGTTGGCTTGTCACTGTCATTTTCTTCACCGTTGTTCAGTTTTTCAGGTGTCATCATTTGTCTCAGTAAATATTTTAAACGAACTATCATCCGATACGGAGTGAGGAACAACAAGAGCGAAGTGGAACGCCCCCCACATATCCTTGACTTCTCTGTGGTCTTGTTTCGTAGCTTCGACAGGATCTTACCAAACCCTGTTCCCCGTGCTTAGTTTGTTATTAATAATAATAATAATGGGCTTTTGGCTCCTCCTTCAGACTTCGGAACACTCTCAGCCCACACGGGCCACAACCTGGCTACGGAAGCCAATGACGATGGCATGCTTGCTGGCCGTTGCTTGAAGCAACGATCGATGGTCGCATCGGTAGGGCGCGATCCAGAAATCGAGGCTCTGTTTAATAATGGCCACGGTGCCGGCGCTAATCAGGGCTGAATCCTGATGGTTGGGATCGGGCGCTCTTGAGCAAATTTTCCGACCAGATGGCCTCTCAAGCATCTCTCGGCAGTCGGACTTTGGTCTCATAGGGGTTGGTAATAATTACGAGGCAGATTTGTCAAGATTAACTATTCATTTTACTCTTCGTGGACTCTTTCGGGGGCCCGTCATATTATTTATTCTCATTATTATTTATTATTCATCCACGCCAACTCAAGATGGATACGATGGCATGAAGTCTCCAGTTTTCTGGTCCGTTCCGGTTTGATCTAGACCTGGTTTGAGTTGGGGTGTGTGTCAGTTCTTGCATTTCTGATTGACCTTGAATGCCCCTTGGCCTTTCGACCGACAACTAGTTCTTGAAGGACTTGGAGCTGGGTTACGCCGAGCCCCACTGCTCAGCTCGAAGACTCCTCTGCAGCACAATTGGCGAAGTCGTTATCAGAGTGCGCCTATTCGATATCCAAGCTCCACTTTTCACTTTTCTCGGAATATGTCTCAACAAACCAGAAGCGAAAGGTGGCGATCCAAAAACAACGATGGAAAGAAGAAGAAAAGAGAAAGGAAAGGAACGTGCAAAAGAGGATGACATCCCATCCAGTTGTCTCTTGCAATGAGTTGCATGTTTCGCCTGGATAGAAAGTGTCTTCATCTTCAAAGCTTGGCCTTCTGACATTGTCCTCTTGGATACCCATTGATGAATGTTGCCAGGACAAAAATACCAGAAGAGTTTTCGGTCGAAATTCCTTCGTTCAAACATGCACTTTGTTCTAGCGAGGATGAATACACCCACATATCTTGAAGACCACGACAGTTGCTGTGCCTTTGTCATACTCGTGTTGAATAAGAGGATAAGTAACGGCTGTGTTTCAAGGAGAACCATGCCAGAGATGGGTGCGATCCAGGGATCAAATCATAGTAATACCAAATATCCATTTGAAGTTCTCTTCCGTCAAATACAGCTATCCAGCTTTACGTCCACCGGCCCCACCAGCCCCCACCAGCCCTCAAAAAGCAAATCAAAAAGAAAAGAAAAGAAAAAGAAAAAAAAAAATCATCTTTATCACCGTTTATCCCATATTATTAACAGGCCCTGAACCCCGAAGGATGTGCTCCCCCTCAGTTCCGAAACTGGCGACAGCATAGCAGCCTAGGTTCCCAGCAGTTGCGTTGTCTGAGTTGCTAAGCTTAAAAATATGAAACATTACTCACCAAGAACAACCTTTCCAATACGCTTACACGTGGCTGTGGGTATGGATCGTATCGAGAACTTCGGCAGCCAATGACAGATGAATGGCTGCTTCGGTGGATTCGAGAATAATATTTTTAGGATTTGTTCAAGCGATCCCGCTCAAATAATGGAAAGCATAAAAAAAAAAAGAAAATACATCAAAGCTGACTCGCCAAGGCTTGTCAGCACCCATCTCCGAGGCGCAAAAGGCACCACATCGGGAGTCTCCAGCAAACCGAAGAATTCATCAGCGGGATCTGTATTTATTTCTTTTCGCGTATTCTCTTTTGTCGGATGCACCTGGAAAATGGACAATAAATAATAAGAATAATCATGGCTCGTCGACTGCGGCTCAAGCGCCAAGGCTGGGCGAGATGCAGCTAGTCCCAAGTCGGACACCCGGCTGGCGCTGCCACACCCAAGCACAACTCAAATTTGACTCCACCTCCTCGAGTCGACAACATCGACGACGTGGACACGCACGATATGATACGGCTAGGATTCGAGGATTCCGGTGGCTGTTAAATTAAATATCACCATCATCATTATTATTGCCAGTATTATTATTCGTTTGAATCCAACGAGCCGCAAGGACGAAGAGAGCTGATAGCAACTTCGGGACTTGCCTGCTTTCCGGCTCTGGTTGGTGCCTGACTTGGACAATCAGTAACTCGGCTCCAATACCAACCGTTCCTGAGCCACAGAATACCAAACAAGGGAACACTCCCCCCACCGGTGCCTGAATTCGTGCTGGCGTTTTCGATACACTCTTGCATGGTCGACGTCAAGACGTGATGTCGCATATCGGTGATATCTCATGGAACAGCCTGCGGATGCTTCACACAAGTTGCGGGCGAAAATGATGGAATAAGGAGAGCGATCCAAAAAAAAAAAAAAAAAAAAAAAAAGGCGAAACATGATCTTTGAAGTTCATTATTCTTCCTGGCTGGGAAACTCCGCTCTTGGGCTTGCCTTGACCTCGTTTCACCATCGCCAGCAGAGACTATGTTTGTATCCCAACACCAGTCATGTTGTTTTCTACTAAACCTAGAAAGCTCCGGTGAAAGCCCAAGCCAAAATAGCAAGTGTTCGACTTGGGAAGCAAAATCAAAAATCCTTGAAGAAGATGAGAAGGTAAAGAATTGGGAGAATGGATGAGGACCTAGTTTTATATTTCCTTGGATTTGCTACTTCATGTCGAAAGAGCATTCTTCCTTCCGGTGACCGAGGGAGGTCGTGTCTGAAATTTTCCCGTCACGCTCAGGACGAATGGCCCTAAGAGACTATTTCAGGCAGCGTATGATCCTCTCATGCATTACTAGCGCCTGTATCTTTCCCTGTGATCTGAGACTTTGACTACGCTGCGTAGTCGTCCGACACCGAAAATAGCAATGTATCTGCCAAGCTAGAATCTCGCTTCATACATTTTCAGCTGGCTAGATGCAAAGCGTCTGCCAGTGCCACAATAATGCGATGAGTAATGGAGGCTGAATGAAAATTCATCGATACCGGGGTACCCGGGTGGGACCTTTTTTTCTCTTTTTGAAGCCGGAAGAAGTCATATTCGCCCCAGCCCCCACCCAGAACTTACTACTTGGTAGATTCTACCCGGGCCGACCTTGTCTCTTTATTTGACATTCTTGTTCTTTGCTTCTCTCATGTCCTGATATTTTCTAATGAACAGTTTCTTTAATACTTTGGTTGCATTACCATTTACGGTCGTTTCTTATTCTTTTTTAAATCAGTCTATCGTTCTAAATCCTCAAGCCTCAGCTTTATATCAGTGCTGGAAGCGAGGAGCTTGATGCAATATATTGGTTTATTGGTCAGGTAATACTTCCACTTTCCTACCACCATTCCACTCGTTTCACACCTTGGGTATCGCCGCAGCCTATGTTCGAAGTACATAGCGGCATAATTTCTAGTCATTATTGATGATGCGGCGGTGGTTGGTGGGAGTGTCGCTGGCGCTTCTCGCTACAGGAGCGACGAGTTGGCCATACGACCCGGAGTTTGAGGGATATAACCTCAACGAAAATAAGACAGCTACAAATCCCGCAGACTATTACGGAGAATGGGAGAATCATGAGTACTTCCCGTCGCCGGAGAATTGGCGCTTTCCATTCTACAGCTTGTTCCTCGATCGATTTGTGAATGGAGACCCGAGGAATGACAACATTAACGGCACGTTCTTCGAACATGATCTGAACTCGAATCAGATGCGTCACGGGGGCGACATAAGTGGTCTGGTGGATACGTTAGATTATCTCCAGGGTATGGGAATAAAGGTGTGTTTGGGTCTCAGCCTTTCTTGCTCAATCTGGAAAATTTGCTAACGCGTGCTCATGAAGGGTATCTATCTCGCTGGAACTGTTTTGATGAACGCGCCTTCGGGCGCGGATGGTTACTCGGTGCTTGACACTACCCTTCTCGATCGACATTACGGTAATATCCAAGAATTCAGATATGCTATTACAGAAATACATAAGCGGGGCATGTATGTCCTTATGGATAACACCTTGGCAACGTAAGTAGCTATCGGCATTACTGTCTCTTACCGCAAATAAACAGGGTATACTGATCAATCGCAATAGAATGGGCGACCTTATCGGCTTCAAAGGATATTTGAATACAACAACACCGTTTGATGTCAACGAACATGAGGCAGTATGGAAGACAAATCGTCGTTATGTGGATTTCGATATCGGCAACAACTACAATGAGACGTGCGATTATCCAAGGTTTTATTGGGAAAACGGTTACCCTGTTGGCAATGATGTCACAGACCAACTGAAGGGCTGCTATGATAGTGATTTTGATCAATATGGTGATATCGAAGCTTTTGGAGTCTACCCAGATTGGCAGCGCCAGCTTGCAAAATTTGCTTCCGTGCAAGACCGTCTACGTGAATGGGTTCCTTCTGTCAGGCAGCGACTCATGAGGCACTCGTGCCTGATGATTCGACAACTTGATATTGATGGCTTCCGATATGATAAGGCCTTACAGGCGACAGTCGATGCGTTCGCGGATATAAGTGAGCACTATCGTGAATGCGCCAAAAGTGTTGGGAAACATAACTTCTTTCTGCCTGGTGAAATCACGGGTGGAAATACTCTTGGATCTATTTATATTGGTCGAGGACGTCAACCGAACATGTTACCCGAGACGTTGGAGGACGCCGTGAAGCTGACGAACACTTCGAGCGAAAAATATTTCATCCGCGAACCAGGCAAATCTGCTCTGGATGCTGGTGCATTCCACTACTCGATCTATCGTTCTTTGACCCGGTTCCTTGGTATGGACGGTAACCTTGCTGCCGGATATGATACCCCCGTTAACTGGGTGGACACTTGGTACGAGTTCCTCCTCACAAATGACTTCGTCAATGCCAATGGGAAGTTTGATCCACGCCATATGTTCGGAGCAACGAATCAGGATGTTTTTCGCTGGCCGACCATTAGGGAAGGGACAGAGAGAATGCTATTAGCCTTCTATATTACCACGCTTCACCTACCTGGTATCCCCTTGCTACTTTGGGGCGAAGAACAAGCATTCTACGTCTTGGACAATACTGCTCGGAATTATATCTTCGGGCGGCAGGCCATGTCACCAGCAACAGCTTGGCAAACCCACGGCTGTTACAGCCTTGGCTCTGAGCAGTACTATCAATGGCCCATTGAGTCTGGTAAATATGCCTGCCATGACGAGACTGTGAGCTACGACCATAGAGATCCATCACACCCAGTACGGAATGTTTTGAAAACCATGTATCAAATGAGGGAGCACTACCCGACGCTAAATGATGGGTGGTTCGTTCAGCACCTTTCAAATCAAACGTGGCAGGTTTTCCTCCCCG